CCCTGGAGTACACCGCAACTTCCATCATCCATAGGGCAAATGCACACTCCGAGTGATGAAAGTCATCACACCAGCAAAATACTTCCGCTACAATGCACAATTCCATCCTCAACCAACCACCGTGCATCACACTAAAATGTGGCCTTTCGGATACGAAGATGTGGTATGTGCACTAACTAAAATAACATGTGCAGATTGCCCATGAGAAGAGCATTGGGGGCAGTGTTCAAAATATGCAGTGAATCAATGAGTACATTGGGCAAGAGGCGGTAATCAGATTCGGATTTTGTTAATAACTGGCCAACATCTGCCCTCGAGGAGGGTGTGTGCTCTGAACAGACATAATCTTGTTCACAGTGCCCCATTTATAACACCATGAACAATGAACGACCCTATCTAATCATTCTACACGTTTAAAAGGATTAAGGGAAGAGAAAGACATCGAATCGACTACAACATTATCACGCAGGGGCCGTAGCGTTAGTGTGATGGAAGGCTAGAAGTGTATAGGCAGGACTGAATGGACATGCAGAAGAGAAGCACAAGCTGTGGAGTCTGATGGGCCATGGTAAGGAAGTCAAACGACAAAATAAATCGTTGCCATATCTACATGAACTTCACCCTACAGTTGATGCGTGGGAGCTAAATGCAAATATGTAATGCATGATTGCATTAAACAATGATCACCCTTCTTAAATTTTCATGCTCTGCGTTTCTATTCCTATGTCGAAATAAAGTAACATGACACTTTGCCTCCTCCAATTGTGGGATGGACATCGGTCCATGCTAGCAGCGTTCCATGTGTGAATACCTCAGGTGTCAAGAAATAGCTAGGATCAATTATTAATGTATTACCAAGTACACTAAACAAGAACTGCTGGATTGATGACTGAAGCAGTAATTAATGCACAAACAAATAATACGTAGACGAAGCAAATACAGAGATAGCACGAATGAAACCACGGTTAGATGGACACGGAATGGATGGTTGCAGGTTAGCTGAGTATTCGGCATGATTAATAGAGAAAGGAGAGCGAAAAGATGGACAAAACTAGAGAGACAAAAAATGGCACACTGTACGTGCAACAGTCACCTTGGCTTCCCACTCCGCCATGCTGGCCGACACCCAGTCAAGATTCTTCTCCGTTTCAGCCTATCAAACCTCCTCGGCCGCCGAGGCAGCCACAATGGCATCAGTGGAATCAGCACGCTTGCAGTAGACTGTCTTTAGCTCGCCAGACACCTGTATGTACGTAGCCTACAGTGATGCCTCAAGAGATGCGAGATGCTTGTAACGTGCCACGCAGTCCACCACTGCCATTTCGTGAGCCTGTGGCGACAAGCTCAGTGTCGGTAAAGACGTCTGCATCTCCGCTGCAGCTGTTGTTCATGTTGAATGCTGTGAGGTACAAAAGACACCTGCAAATCTCATGCATCTTA